GTGTCTACACAAACGATAAACTAAGTAAGGTCGACCACAAATTCTAAGATCCTTACATTTTCGTTTACGATATAAAAGAAACATCATGTTTTAATCTGTCATCTTTTGAAAATAAACTTATAATGACTTGATTATTGATTATAATGACGGAATTATTTGCAGTGACCAATACCAGTTGTATATAGATAGATACAGATGAACGTGAGATTCACACATGTGATGCAATAGGATACAATATCAGACAGCATAATAAAAGTGTGTTCATCCTTCTACGACTCGCTGTCGAAACAGAGGGGAGAAACATAAAACACCTTAATATGATACAGTATTGTATGAAGTAATGAGTGAAGGGTGTACATTCTGAACAGAAGATATAAATGTGGCTATCAAAGTTAACAGTTAAGGTTTGAAATGTGCACCTTGTCTCATGCCAATCTTTTTTCTACATTTGCAAATTCATCTCTGCTTATACATATCAAATTAGCATCTTAATATTCACCACAGCAGTCACCACTCATTTATCTCTTGTTTAGGACGTTATACAATTGTCCATAAACTTGTCAATGCCTATTTACATGATAAAGGTAATGTGACTCTATATCTTAAATTTTGACATTGACAAATAAAAGCGATATACTTTATATTCATTATGCAATCATCTTTGTGTATCAATGCAATTTACTCATTTATAAAACCATGTGCTTTGAGGTGTCACGCTGACAGGTTTGAAGAGATCGAAAAAAGGTACAATGACAATCCTCTGAGAATACCAGTCAATAACTTCAGTCAGCGTTATTAGTGCTTGATAGGTCAGGAAAAGGTCACGCCTGGCCTCCCGTAATCCTACTAACAGTTCTTGCACAACTCATTGGTTCTGTTAATTTTTATCAGTGCATCTGTTCAATACATGATATATGAGAAGAGCATTAAAGGCAATTGTGTAATGACTATTAGTATTTCCTGCCGATGCACGGGTCCGACCGCTAATACAAAGAAACATGAGATGTTTGTCTGTATCCGACAAGTACAACGATCACATCATTAGTAGTACCAGGCACTTACCTGGACTAAGTATGTCCAAGCATTGTTAGCTTATAAAATCAAACATTCAAAATTCAAATCCGACATTTTCCTTAAACGTTTAAACGTTAATGATACACATGTTTAAATGTTTGAAGCTGTCAGATCATCCACGTATCCATAATTGGTGATAATTTCCAACAAAAATTTGGTAAATATATAAGATAAATGAGCTTTACTTTGATGACGTTAAGCGTATCATGCTTCCCACAACTTAGCAAAAAAGTGCATGTTTATTTACTGAGACTGGTTAGTGACCAACCGCATAGTTAGCTTACATCAAAGATCATCTCTCCCGCATTATACTATGAATAACAACAGCACTAAATTTCAGTCGTTGATTTGATTTTGTTTTTTATCAAGTGAAGAGTAAAATTACTTCTTTTATTTCTTTTGACACCTGAGACACCTTTATAGCTAAAAGATCCTCTTATTATTTGTGTATTTTACATACAAGAACCGTGAATCTCATTGAGGGTTACACATTGCTTGCAGATGCCTTACTGAATCATTAAGCCAATTAGCTGTACATAACTGCTAAACACGATATCTTTGATACAGCAGTTCAGTCTACGTTATACACTTGTAACACATACTAATCTAAGAGTAGTCCCAGACACTTAACTTATAAATGTACACCAATAGCTAAGACATGATTTTCGTTTTGATACACTGCCACTTGCTGTGGTCTTTGATCGTTTAATTTCGAATCTAAATATCATAATACCCCCACAGTATTGCTTAAAGATATAATGGCCATTACGACTCCTTGCCTGCTAATGCTCTAAGTATTAACAAAATCAGTTCATGATTCATGGTAATGTATCAACCATAACTCATGTATTTAATTCAAAATTATCGGTGCTCACATTAACCTTCCGTCACAGCACGCTGGTGTAAATCTCATTTCCTCAAGTCAACAGGAAGCTGTTTCACTTCGTTTTCCTATTTTTGATACACAAAAAAAAACAGCAAAGTAATTCATAAGACTAAATTCCCTCCTTTGATTAGAAGGTCGGTCGTGGTGTTAGTATTAACCCTCAAGGCAATGTTGGAATTCCTTTATATACTCCAAGAATAAATCCCAGCATCGGTTAAGACCTTATGAATCATCTATTATTAACTATATCTATTGAGTGCAACCTTATTATAAGTTGGATGAGAAACAGTAGGTAAAACTATCTTCCAAGTTATGTATCCCTTACTTATTTTTAGCGGCCAATTAATTTTTTCTCGAATTCATCTGAAATCGAAATTGACAAATTTTAACTCGATCGCAAAAAGTACTAACATTTAAGAAGAACTAAATAATTTACAATGCCAGACTTGAATTTAACCACAGCGCATATTTTCCCAAAACGTTGTATATGCAAAAAGCTGTGTAAAGTATGTTTTCCAAGATATCGATTTTCCCTTTCGTTACTAATGAGTGTCGATCTAACTTTCTTTCAAAGAAAAAAAAACATCCTTTTCAACCAAATCGATTCTCTTATGTAACATACCAGCGTTATTCAACTTAATTAGCTGACTTAAAAGCTTGCTGTTTTGAAAACATTAATTTAAATTAAAAGTATAATTAAGATATAACTTACAGAACCATGTAACACTTATCCGTACGTGTTTGTTGTAGAATATATTATTATGTAACTTGTAGAAAAAAATATTTTTAATCAACTTTTGATATAATTTTCGTTCCAATAAACAGAAAACAAATCCCATTCCATTTTGATAAATCACGGCATTCATAGTTATCCACAAAGACAAGTTTGTGGGGGTTTTGGAAAATCAGCGTTTTTTAATTGATACAAAGGAAATCGACATGGGTTTCTACCAGCGCTATCTGAATCTGCTAGCAATCTCACCTAATTAACACTTAATTTGGCACTTACAGGTTAAACCTCATCTCCAAGCACTGCATGGCGTGAGAAATGTCTTACAGATAATTACAATCACTAGATCCAAGTCTTGCGGCTTAGAGAGACCTACTGTGATCGAACAGAATCTTTCATTACATGTCATTAGCTTTATTTGTGAACGTCATCTATTCATGAAACACAGTACTCCTTGCTGTGGAAAATTCAGTTACATGTAGTTGTAAGAAGAAATTTTCTCAGAAAGAATTAAAGAAAGAATAAAAGAAGAAGAAGAAAAGAAGAAGAAGAAGAAGAAGAAGAAGAAGAAGAAGAAGAAGAAGAAGAAGAAGAAGAAGAACTAAAGAAAGAAAAGAAAAAGTAAAAAAAGGAAGAAAGTAAAACCTATATTTAAAAGTCGTCATAAGAATTATGATGGATATCTTTTTTTAGTATTGACTACGTTTCTGGTTTGTACGGGTTGTCGTTTTATGTAGAGATTCGACAGTTTAAACGCGATGTGGATTTTATACATGTATTTCATGCAAACAAATTCTAGAATATTAAGCTGAAGGGAGAATATATAACTTACATTGTCTTATTATAGTTTCAGATAGATGTATGCTTATCCGTCTGCATAGAAATAATCTATTTCTTTTTCATCGAACTTAATTTGAATTCGATTGTACTTTTTTGTTTGAAGAATGGCAAAATGCCTCTTTAAATGTCAAAAGTTGTATTAATGCTAGATTAAGTTCGTCTTTTATGCCCAAATACTCATGTTAACCCATAACCCTTGTGTATAACTCCGGTTTGACTGTCTTATTTACTTGTCAAAAAGTAAAATGTTTAATTGAATTAGATTGACAAAAGAAAATGAGGCAAGGCAGAACTCCTGGTCATATATTTAAACCTTAACTGTATTGCATATGCATGCATGATTAACCATAACGAATGTTCAATAAAACACGATAGTTATCCAGCGCAAACAAAAAATGGAATTGTATTACATGAAAAAATCAAGGTTAAAAGCAAAGGAATTTACGTCTTTTTTAAGACCTTTTTTTAATTTATGATCAATCATTTTTAATATGAGTCTCTGATAACAATTAGGTTTTTCAGTCAAGCAGATGTACCGGAACGTGTGCTATCGAGTGTCCCCCGTTCTATCAAATGCACTTTCTGTAATGGAGATAATGAAAATATCTGCTTTGATACAGCCCGGTGCGTCTTTTGAATTTCATACATATCCTAATTACGTTTTATCTTTATACGTGATCTAAATATTTCAAAAAGATATACATCTGTAATTTAGTTATTTGAATTTTGCTCATTGCGAAATATAGAAAAGTGTATTCATGTTCAAAAGTGTATGCATGTATATACAGGTAAAAAATCAATTTAACTCTAAATCAACGACGAAGGAATGATATTGTAAAATATGTTTACCGGCCTTGATGCTCAATATGCAACGGAAGGTTAATGTGAACACCGATAATTTTAAATTAATATAGAAAAGTATTTCTCATGTACCATTTGAGAGTGTATGCATGTGGTGGTCATATTGGATTTCAAATTGGTTTCTAATAACAAGAATGTATCAGGACCCTGTACTGATCATTTCAACAAAATTCTGGCTTAATCTGTAAAATCTGAACTAAAGTTGAATTTAGGCTTACCAGATGGTTTCTATTGTGGTCTGATCTGATTTTCAATGTATATACAGGTCAAATCAATTTAACGACGAAGGAATACCTTTTTTCCCAACATGCGATCAAGAGAAATATTTTGATGATTCTGAGATATATATCTTTAGACATTCAAAACAAGTGTTCGAACACCATTTCTTAAAACACAAGAATCATACCATATGTTAAATCAGTTACCTACCCTTTGAAGTGTAAGAAAGCCAGTCCAAAGAGAATTGGCAAAAATGTTGAACCCAAAATTAAAAAGTCGTTTATCAGAATAGAATGTTATGCGATCGTCCCTGGACACAGTGCGTGCGATATAAATGAAATAGATACATATAGGGAATATGCTGTGTACTAGCAAGAAATGGCGACTTACCTTGGAAATCTCTGCGTGCCGAAATGTTTCGTCGCTACAGACGCACGTATAATCCATTCTATGGGATAGCCATGTGGAACGATATCTCAACACAACACACGTTTCCAGTCTGTCTTGTTCGTATTTGTTCCTGTCACAGAAGAAAGTAAATCTTTCGAAAATGTCAATCTGATAAAGTCGAGTAAATGAATCCGTGAGATTTCTTACAATCAGCACAATCGTATACCGATATTAACACTCCAACATAAAAACATTATCAGTCCGCATTTATTTTCCCATTTAATCGTAAAGCATACAAACACACTATCCTCTGCCCGTCTAAAGTAACAGTTGATTTAAACTAAACAGATTTCGGATAGTCCATCCAGAGGTGCATTAAATAGGCACCCTTCCCTTTAGAAGTCGACGGCACAACTGATTGTGCCTAATTGGTGTTTTGACGAACACGGGAACCGTTGAAAGCGTTACAGCTATGAGAAAGCGGACGGGATGAAAGCCACGCATTTGGCTCGATACATGCGTATAATACTATTATCACTAACGCTATTCTTTTCTTTTTTTTTTAAATGGGGGGAAACCGGAACACGCAAAGAAATCCAATGTGATCAGGCACGTGACCCCCTACCTTTTCACGTCCGATCGGGGAATAGAACCCCGGCGGCCTTTGGGAAATGAAAATACACTATCCACTGCGCCATCCGACCAATACATGATGTTATTTTATATTGGAGAGCTGTACTACATCGTGATTTGTTTTTCTAAAATAGTGTGTCTATGAAGCAGAAGACGCTTACCCTCCAGGAACGCATTGCCTTATTCTCCTAGTACCTTATTAAGGGTTCCCGAGTCAAGATTCCCTTCGTTCTTTCCTTGTTAAAAACACATGATTGTAACCTAAACGTAAATAACAACTCTTGATTTGAAATGTATTTTAGATCCCAAGGTTTTGACGAAGTAATTGCGACGGGTGCCACATGTGGGGCAGGAAATGTCGTAACCAGACGAGTTAATATGTTGTTATTCCTTTCGGTTTGGTTTCTGAGCAGTTCCTGTTATTTTTCTTATCTACTTTGTGTTGGAATGACTTTGTACTTCTGTTTCAACGCGTTTTTAATTTTCTCCCCTGTCGGTAGTTCAGATTTTCAAAATGTTGTGTTTTTTTTATTTCTTACAAAAAAGAACTGTTTGCGCTCTTGCCTCCATATGATAACATTTAAAGAACCAAAAATATCAAGTTTGAGTTGGAATTTGTTTAAAAATTGCAAAACTCGCATGCTTAAAATAAGCTTAGCCTGTCTTAAGCTTATTATGCTTTGAGTAATGTCTGTGAATTAGGCAGGTATTCTTCTGTACAGCCCAATAGTTTCATTCTCGTTAAATCGTCACTGATTGGTTAAATAAAGAAATATAACAAATATGGCACACACACAAAAACAAAAGGCTAAGTCAATCTTAAGCTGACTACGCTTTGAATAAATGGGTAAAGATGTCTGTGAATTCGGCAGGTATTCTTCCGCACTGCCGAATAATTTCATACGAGTTAAACCGTCGCTGATTGGTTAAATTGGTACAAAGGAGTCCATTTCATCACGCGACGAACGTGCTGAGGGAACCATCCTGTTTGATAGGCGGTACGAATAAATATAGGGTTAGACTAAAACGACACACCATAGGTGATCCGAGCTAGTTAGGAATGTTTACTCGTACAGTTAAATAGTTAATCGATACGTTCCAAGTTCTGACATAAGTGCTTTTATCTAACGTTACTATGAATATCGTTCCGGGTTTATAGAGTACGTATACATCCTATTTATGCAAATTGCTAGGAACAATAGAATAGTACTTATCTCGTAACTGTTGAAACTGACAAAGATGTCTCTTTTCAATTCGACTTTTTTTTTTAAATGCAAATACCAACCTTTGGCATTCGAATTTCAGATTTGTCCATAGTTACTTTTTTCAACTTGTGATTGCTACTGTAAAACAATTCGTTGTTTTTCCAGTTTTGAAACATCTAAAATCGTTTAAAAGTGAATCGTTGAAACCAAGTCAATTTAAACGCCTGACGTTGAGCACGTATCAAAAGTCGAGATTAATCACAATCCAGTTTCCATACCACAGCAATAGTATCATCCTTAATTCTTGTTTGCTGGTTGGTGTAAGCTTTTGTGTATGCCTGTAAATAAGTTAACTTGTATTTTTAATTGTTTGTTTATTTCATTTCGGGGTTTTTTCCTTGCTGGTTTGTAAGTTCTTATAAGTGTTTAGTTGTTGAGTAATTAGACTGTTTATTTGTTTGTTTGTCAGATAGTGTGCTTGTTGTCTCTTTTGCTCGTGAGTTTGTTCTCTTGCTTGAAGGTTAACATTATCAGAAAATAGTGATATGACATTGACTGTCAGTAAAAGCTAGCATGAGAACAAAGAATAACTAAACAACATGCAAAAGTATTGCATATGGCAGCAGGAGTTTGCGGCTATGTGATGGGTTGGGGTAGCAATTTGACTGGCATCTCTTCCGTGTCCCCAAAATATGGTAGAGACAGAAGTCTGCTAATTGTTGCACATTAAATAATAATAATAATAATAATAATAATAATAATTCGAGGTTCTTACATACCGCTTTATCACAACCTAGTGCGTAGGTCGTCTCAAAGCGGTTCTCAAATTATTATCCGGTTTATGGGGCCTTGCAACCAGCCAATATCTTTCTCAACTACCTGGGGAGCATACAGCCGGTGCTGCCATTTCGGCGCTCACGGCTAGCATTCTACAATTCTAGCACTGCTTAACCACGTACTCATGTACAGCTGAGTAGACTGGAACAAGCGGAGTAAAGTATCTTGCTCAAAGATACAACACAGTGCCGTGCCGTGACTCGAACCCGCAACCCTTCGGTCACAAGCCCGGCGTCCTACCACTGGACGTCCGTGCCTCCAGATGTAAGTGGGGATACAGCTGGGTTATACAGGTATGTCAGGTTACTCGCCCTGAAACGCTAGAGTTAGATTTGCAAACAGTTGCTTATTATTTCCATTTTCGAGGAACATGTGCATATGTTCACTTTAATTTCCAATGCTAATTCAGACATCTCGCATAACCTGCAACTGTAATCATAACCAAAGATCACACATCTCTTTCATAAAATATACATTTCTCGATTCGAAACCCTGGTGTTTTTGAAGCTGAATAGAGAAAAATGAGTATTCACGAAAATTAAAGGGTTATTTCGTTCTTATACGTTTCTAAAACTAGAACTGGTGTAATATTATGTCTCTGGAGAGTTGAAACGTAGAGTGTGACAAATGTTTGGATGATGGAAATCTTCGAGCAGTAATCTTTCATATACATTGTAGAATTAGGAAGGAGTGTTTCACGTTCTATGCCACGCGTTTTGTTTGCTGCTAGTACACTTCTGATGGATGACATTTCGAGACTTAGAATATAATATCCCTTCAAAATTGCCCAATATGAAACGAATCTACAGTGTACATATATTACTTGTTATAAGTGTAGGCATTGAAGAAGATTAAATTATTAGTTGTTGCATTTATTTGCGTGAGGAAGGTATTCTGAGTGCGTACATACAATGATATGTGGTATATATACAGGTATGTATTATATATATAAATATATATATAAAACGAAGTTAACTCTCAAGTTTAAATTGGAATTTGAAAAATACAATTATTCACATAAAACTTCTAAAGTAACCGTAACACTCCTTAAACAGTCACAATTTTCCAAGCGACGGGTTTGGCGTTATATCGAGTGAGGCAGTCAAATGAACAGTTAAGAATTAGACAGCACGATAGATCGTGGCGGTAAGTAAAATGAAAGGCATTATATTAAATGAGAATTTATTGTAGACCACCCAGGTAGATAAGGGTAAATGATGTGTTCAACATTCAAGGAATTTCATTAGAGGTAATGGTGTGCGATAAGGCTGTTTACATGCTACTTTTACATTATGTTCCCGGTGGCCACGGCAATCACGTTTCAGGCCAACGTGGACAAAACGGGATGGACGTGAGATAACGCGGGGGGGACGGGATGGGCCACCGTGATAGGCCGTGATTGCCGTGGTTGCCGGGCAGATTTTTAAACTGTCAAAACATTTGCCATGGCAGTCACGGTGCGGATGAGAAACCCAGTAGGCCGTAGTAAAACCGGGTAAACGGAACAAAACGTGACAGTACGTAATAGGCCGTAATATAACTTGGAGGCGGTCCGTAGNTGGGCCCGGCGCGTTGCGTTCTACTAAGGTCTGACACGGCGCGCGCGCGCGGTCTGGGCGGGGGGGGCGGGGGGTATATAAAAGCCAAAATCCCACGGCGCTCTACGTTTCGTACACAAAATCTTCTTCATCTTGGGAATTCATGATGTTATCTCGTCGATTCGTCTCAGGATATAATGATTGCTTTTTGCTTGGGAGGCCTTCTTGGGCACAAACGTGCTTCAAAGCTGCCCGGTGTCCACGTTTCATCCGTGGAAAGCCTTGACAGAACGTGAAAAACGTGTCGGACCTTCATCAGAACGTGAGAAACGTGAGGGACCCCATCAGAACGGAACGGGCCTAGAGGGAACGTACTGGCACCCGTGATAGACCGCGGGCCGAACCGTAGTGCGCCTTGGAGCCTCCGGGACACAGCAGCCCCTTTCCCCAACGGCCTGTCACGGATACCATGACAGACCGTGGGAAAACTTACCAAGACTTGAATTCAGAGAAAAAATGGCCGAAATCCAACGGCCCACTACGTTTCGGGCAAACGGGACTGCCGTGGCTGCCGGAAACATTATGTAAACGTACATGTGTAGCATGTTTATTAGGGGGATCTTTTTTAAAATAACTATCATTTTGTTTGATAATAATTCCAGACAGTGTGAAATGGGGAAATTTTTCAGTAGTTTTTTCATTAGTTGATATTTGTTGCAGTCAGTTTTCATTAGATTTATTTGTTGTACCTTAAAGAGATTTATCCCTCTCCTCTCTGTGGCAGCCAATTAAAGAAACCCTAAGAATGCGTATTAAAATCGGGTGAATACATTAATCGTTGTGAGAGTCGTTAATCCTATACGTTTATATGATTACGATACCAAGGTCGGTAATGACGTATCGGTTTACACAACGGGGTGTCGGTATTTTCAAACGAAACCCAATTAAATCCAAATAATACGATTTTAACAACTACATGATAAATCGGTTTGTAAGAATTAGAGACAGGCAATTATGATATATGATATTTTTATATACCCTAGTATGGAGTGCACTTAATTTAAAGGTATTTCCATCAGGCACCATAACCACGCTATAATATATTTCAGTGTAAAATAATTCATCCGCATAAACGGATTTCTCAATTTGATTAACAGCAGGTACTTCGTAAATCCTGCATACATGTCAGGAGGTTATTACTAATTACGAAAACATTTTTAGTAAAAGACTGTTAAGTACAGATAGAAGTG